ATGTAGTGTTAATTACTGTGAAAACTCATGTCGTTACTCCGACTGTCCTGTAATTCTTTAATGATAATAATTGAATCATTGAGCACTGTGAATTGGCGTGTTTGTCGTTTTCAGTTTTCAATCCAATTTAATTATTAAACAAACATTGTAAATTAAGGGCTAGAGTTCACATGTAGTTTTGATTACCATAGTGAAAATGCAGAAATAACTTTTGCGCCATCTGCTCTGGAAAATTATCTCAGATTTCTTAGGCGTTTTTTCATGGTTTTCATGTTTTTCTTGTCTACTAAAATTTAAATAAAAGATATGCATGTACCCGTAGTTTTCTAATCCAGAATCAAGACTAATGGAATGTTTTAACTTCTATTGTTTTTTTTTTTCGGGGGGGGGGGGGTCTATTTGTGTATATGAACAGAGCTACTTGAAAAACAATTGTCAAGAAAACATGCATTTTGATACGATTAACCGGTTAATCGGTCGGAACGTCTTGCGGTTAACCGATTAGCAATTCTGTAATCGATTGCCATCCCTAATATATATATATATATATATATATATATATATATATATATATATATATATATATATATATATATAATTGTAATGAATAGTGGTTCAGTTACAAATTTAATCGCGAAAATACCGCGAATATTAGTGGTTCACGTAAAATACCGCGAATATTAGTGGTTCACGTAAAGTCTGCAACACAGTAAAATTTCAAATGATGGAGAACCCTGGTGTTGAACAAAATTCATTTATAAATTTCCAATACTGGCCGATTCCGACTCTTTGAAAAAAAAAATTGAAGCTTTCCATGAAATGTCAAAATCAAGAAATAGACAAAAGTTTCTTTAAGAAGTTATAAGCAAGTATTTAGAGACATTGGTAGTGATTTTAATGTCTTGCCTGTTTTGTTACAATGACACATATACTTAATGGGACGTATATCATAGTTGTGAGATCTTTTTCTTTTCTTTTTTTTTTTCTTTTTTTTTTTTTTTGTAGTGGAAGACTCGTTACAGATAAAATTCTTATTTTTGAAATGTGCAAATAAATAAAATTTTATAACTAAAATAATAGATAAAAAAGTTTAACCTTTTTTTAAAAAAGGAAAATAGAGCAAAAATTGTATGTCTAGTCCGATTTGTCACGTATTCATTTTTTTACGTTTTGATTCTTAGAAAACGTATGAAATAACGTCAAAAATGGATTTCTTGCACACTGTCACAAGAAAAAAAAATAGAAAGTAAAAGAAGACAAGATAATGAAAAATAATCTGTTTCGTAAAAAAGGTCAACTTTGCTGAATAGGATATGAAAGATATAATGTATATTCCTTGGACGTCAACTTTAGTTGAATGACGCTATATTGACGTTACAAAATCAGCCCCAATTCAGCTAGCTTATAACCTTTACAACGTGTCGTTTATGACATCACAATGGCCGTTCACCGGTAAATACGGCTTAAAATCCGGTGAATATGTTATTTTATTAACCATTTGCCCTTGTATAGATTATATAGGGGTTATAAATAGACTACATAATAAAATTAGTTATGAAAGGTTATTTCATCTGCACTTGACCTTTCAGGTGAACATACAAGTAACACTGTACATCACACAAAAATAATAGGTCAAGAAGTTCTAAATTAATACAACTGGTTATGTTTATTTTATAATTTCGGTTCTCTCACTGCGTTCGGCTAGAATATCAACAAATGCAAAGAATCAAGAAAGATAGCAAGGTTTCGTTACCGAGTGGATATCATTTAAATATTTGAATCATATAACAAAACAATTATTGCAGCCCGGAGGACCGGGCTGCTCTATACATATAAGTTTAAGTGTTGGTATATGGGGATTGAGGTGGGAGAAGTTATTCAGAATTAAAGGTTTTCTAAACATTAAAAAGATTGTTAATCAGAATGTTCTTTCCCTTTATAAATTACGAGATACACAATATATTTACTTCCATAAAGTGAATCTGTAAAAATATATATGTTTTTCATATTTAATATATAAAGTTGCATATCATTTACTATCGAAAAAACGACAGGTCCCTTTTTTTAGAACATCGAATTTTACTTATCGCGTAAAAACGTAAAAACATACTTTACACAGTTCGTGTTTTATTATCTTAAAGTGAAAGGCATTTTTGAAAATAGGTGATGCATGTGTCTGGTTTCAAATTATTTTTTATGCAGCCAACATTTACTTGAGGAATTGATAAAGTTTAAAAGGGTATCGTTTTTGTTCGATTTTCATCCGCCTATAAGTTTTCAAAATAGTTTCTACTATCGTCTCCATCATTTAGACGCATGCCTTTTTCACACATATCGAAGCGGTTTGATGATCAAGACTCATTTCCATTGTTTACTTTATTTATTTCCCGGGCGACAATTGATGGTTACATCAATGTTTTCTTGTTGCTGTTTTCTTTAGTGGATACGATGATTTAACCATCTTCGAAATACAATATTCACCTCGCCTTTTGAGCTCGGTGAATGTTGTACTCCTCAGATAGCTAAAAAATGACCTCAAAAAAACAATAATTGTGTAGTATATCATTAAAATAATATGTTACTTAAGTTATTTAAAGGCGCGAAGTGTTTTATAGATCTTTCATAATTCATATGTAATGTATACAGAGCTTTAAAAAAGATAGAGGTACATCACATCTTACCGTAACAGTGTTGGTTTTCCATTTTCCAAATTCCTTTAGGGGTACATGTCAAAATACAATAACCATTGATTTCATTATTTTTCCATGCTGTTGTCGACCCAACAAGTGTAGAGTGAAGATCATCATTAAAACTGTTAACTTCCGGGTTCCTACAATCTGTTTACGACTTTTTAATATATATATATATATATATATATATATATATATATATATATATATATATATATATATATATATATATATATATATATATATATATATATGTGTGTGTGTGTGTGTGTGTGTGAGGGTGCGTTTGTAAACACCTTCAACTCAGCTCAGGTACTTATTGACACATCAATCAACTCACTACAGTTTTCCAAGTCACTACAGTAATCACTGTAGTGAGTTGCCGTTTTACGAAAAATGGGTAGTTCTCGATTATTTATGCCCAAAAAATCGAGAAAAAAAGTTGGTGTCATTTGACGGTTTACACCCGTATTTTCACACACCGACTTATGATCAAAAAATGGCCCTTACACACTTTACTCGGTTTTGATTCTAGCGCATGCGCAATGCAGACTAATACTATGGCCGACTTCCGGTATGTAATGATCTCGATTTTTCTACAAAGCAACAAATGATCTCATCAGGTAAGTTAATTTTCTGTTGATTTTACCGTGAATTAAAGCATTAATTACAAAACATCACATCGTTTCCATATACAAAGATATTAATCAATCACTCGATAAACATAGAGTATTTAGATTTCGTTGTTTATATGCCCTTGAAAAATTTATGTTCAAATCCCTTAGTTATAATCCACAAAATAAAACTTTAAGGTTAAAGAATTATTTAAATATATTTCCATATAACTTTAAATCCACTACATGGCCAAATCCATTTGTTAAGCATAATTTGCAGTCGTCATCGAGTCTAAGTTCGAATTTTCTCGAATTATTCATAATGTTGACATGTTTCTATTTCATGCACTCGTATCAATTAATTATGTTCAACTTATATAAAAAATTATACTTCATGTAATATATCAAACGTATCTGGTTCTTTGTTCTAGTTATGAACTGAACTGGAATTATCTCTATCCTTTATAGTCACATATATTGCCATCAACACATCTTCAGTTCAGAAGTTAAATAAATTATTTTATGAAGTTAGAAATTATTTATCTTATTTATCTTTGTCCAAGACATGCACTTCATTTGTAATTTATTCTTTATTTAAAAAAAACTGCTTCAAATATGTATGATTACAAAAGTATTTAACAGTACGTTCTCACTATATAAGAATCACACTTTTCGATTTTAAATGTTTCTCGACTGATTTTACAGAATTTCAAATGAACAAATTCATTTAAATATTTTCTAATACAATGTCCCTGATGTATGTCACAATGGAACACCTGCACATGTATTGTATAAAAAGAATTTAGAAAGATTAGATATCTTTATAATGGAGGTACGTGTATGATAAACTGTTTTGATCGGAAGGGGAAATGCATTTTTAAAATACTACGGCTAATGTAGACAAGACCAGAGTTCTCTTTCATCCAAAAATAAAGTATGCTCAGTTCTTCTTGTATGTGTCCTTAAAGCTGGTAAACTAATCAAAATATGAAAATCTGCAAGTTTTTGTAAATGTATTCAGATTGGAAACATTAATCATTAGTTGCTTACCTGTCCGTGTAAGAGAAATAATTACAGTCTCTAGACTTGATGAGGTGTGATTACGGTAATTGTAAAATGTGGTTTCCAAGACTTTACCTTATTTATTCATTAGAGTTAGTGATTCATGTTCACTATTGTTTCCTCAGAAGGAGATGATCCAAGAATTCTTCCGGGGGGGGGGGGGGGGTCCATGCCCCCCCCCCCCCAAAAAAAAATCAAACTGAGAAATTTACCCAAAACTTAAAAAATAAATAGATAAATTTTAAAAAACGCAAACTTGTCCATCCCCCCCCCCCCCCCCCCCCCGAGAAAAACTACAATTTGAAAACTCAAAAAAAAATAATAATAAATAAATAAAAAATGAAAAAATAAAAATAAAAAAATATGAATGGACTGGACTGGATCGGTGCATGAATTACTAAACATTGTCCATCGTATATATAAAGAACTGCATAAATTTTACACTTAGTCTAATCAGGGACTATATATAGAAATATCTATTTGAACATTGTTAATGCCTCCCCCCTCCCCCCTCTCCATTTACCATGTTTATTTCTAGTAAAAAAAAAATTGTCTGATTAACCTGTTCTACTCAAATTTACTCAAGTAATAAACATTTTTTTTCTGTGTAAAATTTCATTCCGAGTCATCACCGGAACGAATTACTACTTAATCGTAACTGTTGTGGCGTGATGCTTGATTGTGAACCTAATAACATAGAAATACTTATTGGATTATACCTTCGATGTCATTCTGTGATTTATTTTAGTATGTTAATACCCCTCATGGTAAGTATAGAGTAAGAAACGTTATATAAAGGTGTAAATGACAAGTTCAAAATATTTACATGATAAACAAATCAGAGGTCATTCGAGTCACGTATAAAATTATTAAGTCATGCATGTGATATCAGTCAAGTGCAGATATTTCACAAAGGTTTGGTTGTGCATATATTTTAAACCTTTCACTGTGGTGTTTGTGAGCTTGATACGTGATACAGCTGTGATACCAACACGTAAAAGAAGATAGGCTAAGTGAGACTCTTGTAAATTCACATACACACACAAAAGATGTAAAGGTTGCTCCACACCTCTTCAAATTAAGGCTTTGCCACACTACAGCATGTACAAAGCTTAAAAAACTTGCATCGACGTACAGAAAGATTAACATACTCGCTGGCATATGCTGAAGGCTTGTGCCATGCACCATAATCAGGATAATTGCACTGAAGTAAAAAAAAATTAAAATGGTCATTAAATCAACCATATTAGCACCAAAGTGTGCATTCAATTTTCCCTTGGCTCTGTTCATTGGAAAGATTTCGACATTATATCTTTTAAAGGAAAGGTTTGTTTTGTTTGTATGTTGTCTAACGTCCCTCTCGAGAATTTTTCACTCATATGGAGACGCCACAACTTGCCGGTGGAGAGCTGCAAATTTTGTCCTATACTCGGCATTTATGGCCATTGAGCAGTGAGGGATCTTTTTTGTGCCAGCACCTACTGCGACATGGGATCTCGGTTTATACGGTCTCATCCGAAGGACCGGTCTCCACGTACCACAGTGGGATTCGAACCCGCGACGTAAGAATCAACTCCTTACTCCGCGACTCTAGAGCAGATGCTCTAACCACTGCGCCACATGGGCGACTTTAAAGGAAAGGAATTGTATAGTTTGATATGTGCACACCCTAGATTTTGGAAATGTTAATGCTCTACTTTTATTGTTTTAATTACTTTCATTTTCAGATGTTTATTTTTTGCGAATGTGTGCATTTGGCCGGAAAACAATCTGACATTCCACCTTGAGATGTTATTTGAGAGTTGTTCCGTCCTTAAATGTAAAGCAAGGATTTAAAACAGTGTGAGAAAAGGTTAACATTGTCGCCTATGGGAAATGTATTGGTGGACTGTATACCCCATATATATTGAGTACGTCTATTGGTAAGCATGCTAAGAGAAATTCTACTTGTTAAAAAAATTGTACTTTCAGGCTGAGTTGAAGTTTGTAATTTAATAATATTATCATTTCCAATTGTTGAAATCTATGAAATACACAACTTTTATTTTGCTTAATGTGCATATTTTAAAACAAATCGAGTCGCAATATAGTGTCCTTCCAAAATTTTGAGGTGAAATAGACATAGTGTATATAGACACAGTTAAGGCACGGAACCCATATATGAAATTTAGAAAAGATGTACGGGCTCCACAGACCCAAGATATGGACAAAGAATCTGAGGTTGAAAGCAAGGTGTTCTTGTGCACAGAAACCAATGTGTAGGCAAGGAATACTTGTCCCAAGAAGACAGTTTCTAACTTACAAAATTTGAATGAGGCAGATTTGGTTCAAACTATATACATGTATTTTTAATCTCACGGCTTTTTACATAGCATGATCATAACTTCCTTTGTGCAAATCAGATTAGAAGGATTCATGATCCTGAGCTAATATAGCTTGTGTCTTTCTTAATTTATAAAAGATACATAACTAATATACATGTATATCACTTGGAATTGTACTTAGGTCAACTTGAATGATTTTGTCACTTTTGAACTAAAAGTCTAAGTAAGTAAGTCTAATATAGAAGCCATTTGAAATCTTTATCCTTGGATGTTTCAATGCAAGCTGACAGACATTGAAATAGTCTTTGTTGATCAATGATGATTTAACCTAAGTTAACAATCTCATTTCATTTTGTGTCATCACATGATAAAGAAAGTTATGATTTTATTAAATTCAAATTGAACAAACTTAGGCTGAAAAAAACAACAACATGTATTTCCCATAACCCAGCTGACCTAATTTTACCCACCGACTCTACTACTTTTTATTCCAAATCGAGATTTTGAATCATACTTTTGTTCATAGTAAAGTTTTCTCGTAGTGCAGTCCATAAAATGCATGTCTCGTACACTGTAAAAACCTGTTTATCCAAGAGTCTTAAAGAGTACTCCTACTTTATATATATATATATATATATATATATGTTTGTTTGTTTATTCATATACATGTATGTTTATGTACATGTATATGATAGAAAAACAATGTACAGAATAATTAATTGATGCTTTCAAAATAAAAAGTGTTGCTTGTGTGACGCAGTGGTTAGAGTGTTTGCTCTAGAGTCGCGAAGTAAGGAGTTGATCCTTAGATTGCAGGTTCGAATCCCACTGTGGGACGTGAAGACCGGTCCTTCGGATGAGACCATATAAACAGAGGTCCTATGTCGCAGTAGGTGCTGGCATGAAAAAGATCCCTCACTGAGAGCGGAGTATAGGTCTATTAATTTGCAGCCCTCCACCGACAAGTAGTGGCATCTCCATATGAGTGAAAATTTCTCGAAAGGGAATTAAACAACAAACAATCAAGTAAACAAAATTAACAGTAAAGTAAAAAAAAAAGTTATTCCCTACTTACCTAGCCTAATTTTTTTTAGCATATGTCACCAGAAACACATAATTTTTTTCATTTGGCCTAATTAAGTTAAATTACTATAGAATTGTGCATTGAATCATTTGATTCTTAATAAGAAACTACTATAAATTGTTAAAATGATAGTGTAGATAAGTTCTATAAAAATGAATGTGGCACTCTCATACATGTATTAATTTCAAACTTTAAAAATTCTAAAACTAATCAAATTAATAATGTAAAGCATTGTAAAGTTTGTATTCAGTCTCTATTTGGCATCTACAGCAACATCAGGGGATTCTCCAAGATCCTAACCCAGATCTAGATGAATTAATTAAGGCACATGCAGATCTCATGACTCCATATTTGGTTATTTTTTGACATGGTCGGTTTCCCAAATCAGGGTCTCCAGATATGGAAAATGGCACAGGTTTCTGGTACAGGTTTTTCAGAATCCATGAGTTCATGTAGGGAACCTAGCACAACTTTCTGTGAAGGGTTTATTTGTAAAACTGTGTTATGTTATATTTCAGTCATTATCCCATGCCTGTTCTTGCCTTGACCACTTTTTCGCATGGCTTTCTATACATATTTTACATATATAGGAGGAGAAATGCTAGTCTGTTACAGGTTTATGGAAGCTAAATTTGTGCCTGTGTTTAAACCACCCAGACAGTTTCATATGGGAGTAACCCCCCCCCCCTCCCCTTATGAACATACAGCTAATTCTCATACCTCCTGTTGTTTACAGTTACATGTATGTAGCGAATAAATTCAATTAATGTGTCAATTTATATTGTTTATTAATTCAAAGCTAAGTTGAATATATTTTTACATAAGGATTCAATATGTACACAAAAATTCACAAACTAGGTCGGAATCGGTATTCAGTCAAGTTCAAAGTGAAAGTAGTGTACTCAATGTACAGGCCGGCAGGGTCTTGCAGTATGTAAGTGACATGCATGTGTCATTTTATGCAGGGGTATAAATGAAAACTATTATCATGGAACAGGATTACATGAATGAGGACATGTACATTCTTTGGAAGCAGTCAGTCAACTTATTCAAGTGTGTGTGAACATGCACACTAACATTTTTCATATTTTATTGATAGCATGATCGATACATGTATTAATTTTGTCTAATGTATTATTTGTCAGCATGGTCAGTAAAACATGCTTTTTAACTGTATTATTTATTTAACTAAACAATGTTGGGACTTAAATCAGTGCAAGATGAAGCAAATTCATAATTTATGATTATTTTCAAATAATGAACATAAATGGAACGTGGAACGTTTGTATGTGTGTAATGTCTGTCTGTGAATGTTTTAGGATGGATGTTTTGTGATACTGAAGTATAACATCGATTTTTTTAGGTTCATGGTGATACAGGAAAACTTCAAGGTTCCTGCAGATGGTGTTTAAAACTATTGGCCAGTGAACACAAACCCATTTAATTATATTTTGAACCTTCACCAGGAGAAAAAAGATGGCAGTACTTCTAATGCGTAAGTAGAATTGTTTTAAAAAGCTTCTTTTTTTTGTTTTGGGGTGGGATGAATGATTAAACAAATACATCATGTACATAAGCGTTGAAATCCCTTTAATACAGGGTGTTTCAACAAACATGTCCTTCTTTTACTACTTCACATGAGTCCGTCAAAAAAGGAAAGATCAGTGTTTTGTAACGATTTATCTAAAAATAAACATTACAATGCAGTCTTTGCCAAATCTTTTTTTCAGTACATGCCCTTCGGGCAGGTTTAACCACTTATTACGCTAGCCCGAACAAATATTCACATGCCCAGAATTTTATCAAGTAATTTTATTCTTATTTGCCTTTTCATGGCAAGGAAATGATCCGAAATCCATTTCTATCGATCTATTGGCTAGCCATTAATATTGTTTTCAACCTGTACACTTTTTGTGTTTCTTTTGCAAAAGAGTTCCCTGGAAATCGTGGTAGAATAAACTATCGTTAAAATTTTATTTGGTGCTCCACTTCAGATGAAAAATCAGACTTTTAAGTACATTTAATGTTATTGGTATTACTTAATTTGATAATACGGAGGCTTAGGCCTCAGAATTCACATGCCCTTTGGGCTTGTAAGTATGCAATTTCCACATGCCCCCTTCCAATTTTACCAGGTCCCGGGCTTCGGACTCCCGGAATTTGTCGAAGACTGATTACAATGTACTTTTTATAGTTTTTTGAAAGTACATGAAGTGTTTTATTCCAAAGATTTTTAGCTCACCTGAGCCAAAGGCTCAAGTGAGCTTTTCTGATCAGAATTTGTCCGTTGTCTGTCGTTGTTGTTGTCATTGTCGTTGTTGTTGTAAACTTTTCACATTTTCATCTTCTTCTCAAGAACCACTGGGCCAATTTCAACCAAACTTGGCACAAAGTATCCTTGGGTAAAGGGGATTCAAGTTTGTTCAAATGAAGGGCCAGGCCTTCTTCCAAGGGGAGATAATTAAGAATTTGTGAAAAATTAATGGCATCATTTAAAAATCTTCTTCTCAAGAACCACTGTGCTTGAAAATATGAAACTTATGTGGAAGCATCCTCAGGTAGTGTAGATTCAAGTTTGTTCAAATCATGACCCCCGGGGGTCGGGTGGGGCCACAATGGGCGATCAAAGTTTTTCATAGGAATATATAGGAAAAATCTTTAAAAAATCTTCTTCTCAAGAACAGCAAAGCCATGATTGGTCATATTTACATGGAAGCATCCTCAGGTAGTGTAGATTCAAGTTTGTTCAAATCATGACCCCTTGGGGTCGGGTGAGGCCACAATTGGCGATCAAAGTTTTACATTGGAATATAGGAAAAATCTTTAAAAATCTTCTTCTCAAGAACAGCAAAGCCATGATTGGTCATATTTACATGGAAGCATCCTCAGGTAGTGTAGATTCAAGTTTGTTCAAATCATGACCCCCGGGGGTCGGGTGGGGCCACAATGGGTGATCAAAGTTTTACATAGGAATACATAGGTTAAATCTTTAAAAATCTTCTACTCAAGAACAGCAAAGTCATGTTTGGTCATATTTAAATGGAAGCATCCTCAGATAATGTAGATTCAAATTTGTTCAATTCATGACCCCCCCCCCCCCCCCCCCGAACCACTTTTTTATTTAAACTTTTCAACCTTTCAAGACTGAACTGAATTCTGCTTTTTCCTAGCCATAGTGCTCAGGTGAGCGATGTGGCCCCTGGGCCTCTTGTTTAAAATCTCGTGATCATGCAGGAAGTATGAACATATTCCTGATCTCGTTCATTATACTCAAAACATTTGACATCTTTATGTATCATACCCTGTACAAAATGTTCCATCTGGAAAAAGGCATAATCAAGACAGAATTCTCAGTAAAATTCCAGGCGTAAAACTTACTATAAATGTTAAAGCAATATAAGCAGAAACCAAGCGTTAACCAAGCGGAGACTAGCTGGAAATTTGAGGCGAAAATGTAATTAGTTCCGCCTGGAAATTGACATTCTGCCTGCATGGAATTGAAATTCCACCTAGAATTGAAATAACAGGATTCCGCCTGAATATAGATTCCATTTAAACTGTCCAAAATATTTCTTTTTATAATTTCCAGCTATTTTCCCACTGAACTAAATTCAGCCTAAAATTTGATGACTGGAATCTGTTAAATTTAGGCGGAATCTCTGAGAGCCTGGAATTTGTGGATTCGGTGGAATACCCTTGGTGTCCAACGAAATTCTGGGCGGAATCCACCTTAATTGTTTGTACAGGACTAAATCATAATCACTAAAATGTTTAATTTCACATCAGTCAGTCGTAAAATTAAGTGCCAACTTGACTCAGAATTACCTTACTACCTGCTAAGATGCTAGAAAGCTAAAAATACATGCAGGGTTTTCTAGTAAATGTTGTTGAAAATCGTAATTTATTCATTTTGTTTTCCAGAAATTTTTATTGGTCTGTTGGGACTTACTAGGGACAGATTTTATTAGTCCAAATGAAAATGTATTAGTCTGATCAGACTAACATTAGTGTTGAACCCTGACATTAAAATATCTCAGGCATATATTTAGTCAGGCCATGCTTACACTGTATAAAACATGATGCTGGAAAGTTGAATTGAAAATTTAAGTCTCCTTTATCAGTCTCTAACAAAAAATTTTAACTAAATCAGTAGAATTAATTTAAAATTCATAGTCTTTCGGAAATGTTTAGACTTTATATTTTGCAATAATTACTTAAGTGTTCATTATTGATATCCCTTATCTTAATTCCTGAAACTGACAAATCACAGTAGCCTAGACGGTAGTTGTTGTCGGTACTCGCATTATAATTAATAGGTCCCTGTTCAATTTTTGTTCCTAGCACCTTGTCAATCCAAGATGTTTGAAATAGGTAATGAGATTGTTCGGTTACTAAGCTGTGACTCTATAAGTGAAAGATGCATGTGTTTTAAATGAAACCTTAAAAATCAAGGTCTCATTTCATGGTAGGCAAAATAAAAAAAAAACCCTCCAGTGTTAAGCTACTAGTATACATTGTAGTGAAACCAAATATCGAAATTTTATGATATGGTGTCATATGTTTTTTTTTTTTTTTCAACCACAAATTAAATCCCCTCAAATCATGAAAATTTAAACCAGTGAAAATAACCAATTTTGCATTAATTGAGAAACTTGCATGTATTTGAAAGCTTCCTGAAATACCAGTAGTGTAGATTCAAGTTTGTTCAATTCATGGACCCTAGGGGTAGGGTAGGGCCACAGAAGAGGATCAAAGTTTACATGGAATGACAGAAACATGATTTAAATTAGTCATATTTATTATATCCATGTTCTTACCAAATTTCTGTTGCACTTTTCTCAGCAACTACTCATCGAAGGTGCTTAATATTTTAGCACGCTCTCTGTTTAGGCATGCCATATGGTAGGATGTATTTTTGTAGGAATCCCATGTTAACTTCCTGTTCATCCCTCCATCTGTCCGTACTAAATTTCCATCACAATTTTCTCAACAACTGTTAAGGATGATGCTTGAAAGTTTAGCACACTTTTAAATTGTTTAGGCATGCCATATGGTGGGATTCATTTTTGTATGAATTTGACGTCAACTTCCTGTTTACCCCTGTGCTTGTCCGTACCAAATTCAAATCAGTGTGGGAATTATAATTACTAGTGAGCATTGGCTCGATCACAGACTTCTTGTTTTCTATTTGATAGGAATGTCTTTTACTTTAATTAGCTAAAATACTTATTTAGTTCTTCACAAATATTCTAAGAATGTTCTTTTTTTATAATATGTGTAACCATTACTGTTTCTTGAGTCAAGATTTTTTTAATTTATTTTATTGGTATTTATTTCTACTAGAAGCAGCTACTAGGGAAGATTTAATGAAGGAAGATGAGGAAGTGGAGAAAAAGCTGAAGAACAAGGAGGACAAGGTGAAGAAAGGACAAGGTTATTACATTATGTATCTCACAGTATTTTTACAAAGCCCTCTCAAATCCTGATTTATATAGTTTTTTTGTAAAACTTAAGAATGAATTCTTATTTAGTTCTTGATCCTTAAATATAAATGAAGAAGGTAACAATTTTTACAGGGCACAGTGACTTGCAGTGTGTGTCATGTAACATTATTACAACATCTATATCATGGGTCCATAATTTTGAGTAAGTCATTCATCAACCACTTTATCTGTACTGGAAACCATTTCTGAGAGGGATGAAGTGATGGAAGATAATGAGCCAGAGGGTGGAACGGAAGAGAAAGGGAAAGAAATAAAGAAAAAGGCAGAATGAAAAAGGACTAGGTAATTATTATCACAATACCCCCCCCTTCCCCATCAATGTATTTCTTCAAGTCAACAAAATTACCATGTACTTATCTTATTCTTTCATAAATATTTTGAGAAAAAATATCAAAACATCAACTTTGACTGGATGTAGTGACTTGCATGTGTGTAATTAGCTATGGTCGATACAATGACCTTGTCAGCAAAAACAATCTTTCATTACATGTAAGTCGAATGCGGACTGATGTTTTTAATACTAATTGTTTGGCCATTATTTACACATTGAATTGTCTGTTTACACATTGAATTGTCTACAGACTTTTCCGTTTTCCCGATCATGACAAGGAGCACACATCAAATGTGAATGATTGGCAGAGGATGTTTACTCCTATATTGCACCTGATCCCACCTCTGATGTTTTTAGTGGTCCATGTTTGCTCCTGATTTGTATTTTTTCTATGGACTCTTGAGCTTCGTTATCTCCATAATTATATGATTGTACAGTGAAAACTGTCTAATCTGACACCTGTGCAATCCGTCACACTGTAAATTCCAAGGTTAAATTTCATTCCCATTTTACTTTTTTCTATGTTTTTTTACACTGATCAATACGACACCCTATCTATTCCGACAAAAAATTTGTCTCCCAGTGCATGTCGGATTACACAGGTTTCACTGTATGATTAAGTGGTATTTGAGTACTCTTTACTGGAACCCAGGAACATCTTTATTTTTTTTTACTTTGTGTCATCTAGTTTAAGATAATGAGATTGGACTGTATATAGGTAATTCATCATGAAAAATGTTACATGTTACATGACTATGCCCTGACTTTACCTTAGGCTGAAAATGTCGATCAAGACACATTTCTAGTCTTTGCAAGTACTTGTAAATCTGTTCAGTCATGTTTTCTTTTCTTTTGTGTGAATCAAGCTGCACACTTTGAAACTTTGAATCATAACCTTGTTAATTGATGCCTGTTATAGGGGAAACGTTATTTCTTGACCAGGCTTTAATAGCAGCAAGAAATATAGGTGAATTTGAGGTCATGGAAATATTTTAGGTAATAACAAAAGTATGTATTTCACATTCTAGTACCAAAACGTTTCTGTCGAAGTCAAGCAGGTACATGAAAATGAATAAGTTACTAACCACTCTTTTCTCAGATAAATCACTAAAAAGGTTCAGTATGCCAAGATTTTTCATGAATCTGGTAAAATCCGAAACTTGACAAATTGAGTTTTTGTCAGTTTAGTAGTTTATCGAATTGGATTTTTTTTTTTACAGAACTTGCAATAGAAGAAAAATTTGAGGAAATGAAGAGGAAGAAATTGAAGATGAAAAGAAGAGCTCTGGGAGGAAAAAAGTGAGCATAGTGCAGTTATTTCTATCATTTTACATTTTATTGCTGCAATATCAGATGCCGTCTGAATCATAAACCTTATCTACTGATAAAGATGATGGGCAAACAAGGCAAGTAAATGCCTATTGTGTGACAAAAAAAGATGTAAAAAGTTAAATCTTAATCATGTCAAAATTTTCTTTGATACTTCATGTAACATTATTGTATACCTTATGTAAAAGCTTTGCAATTTGCTACAATCTTATAACGATTAATATTATTGATCTATGAAATAGCAGATACACACCAAAAGAGGGCAAAAATGGTCATTTTTTCCTCCTATATCATACTTTTTAAATATGAGTAGGTCTTCACTCCATATTTTGGTAAGATTATACTCGAAGCATATTTAAAACTTTTCCTATTTCGTTTGACAAAAACATGGTGAAATGACCAACTCTTCTAAAAATAGACTTTTATGTCACAACATTGGTAAGAATTTCATAATCGATGATCAGGCTACTGTAACTAACTAATTATCAATTATAATCGGACATTTACAAAGTCTGTCAATTTTAGTTTATTAAATGGTAAGAATGGTTGAATAACTACTTTCTGTGGTGGTCCAGCTGTAGTTGGAATAACTGTGTCTCGGAACAACCCCTAGTCCTTAGGACAATATCATTTTAACGACAGAATGTTCTATCTAGTCAAGCTGGTTCTACGCTCATTTTGTAGAATCCAAAGTACGTCCATACCCAGGAATGAGCGTTGTTACCTGGGTATGAATACAATGTCTCTTTGTCTGTGCCATTACGATATGCATATAAGTTAATAGAAAAGTTGCGGCTGGAATATTTGGCTTAAAAACTATTACGCTTTTAAAATAAAATAAATAACCCGATTAATCAGAATAAAAAATTTGTAATCGAGTGCTTGGATTATGCCAGCAATTGACTGATTTTCGATTATAATCGATGATTGGAACACCACTAGTTACAACAACATTCATATCATGGTTTGACATTAACTTTTATGAGTACTAGATCAGTCGTGCTACTTCCCATAGTTTTTACTAGCTCTGACCATAAATTCACTAGCCCTGACCAAACTTGAAAATTTTCTATTTATAACCTCCTATTATAATGGGAAAAAAGTTTTGAAACCATACTACAGTGTATCTCTCGCATGTGTTCATGTATACATTTTGACAGACTGTTGAGCCCATAGGTAGCAGCCCAATGAGTGAACATGCGAATGTTATAAGCTTTAAAGAACATTAATTCAAGGAACTTAAATAAAATTATTACCGTAAATATACATGTAAATAAATTAAAAACTGTAATATTCAATGAATATTTATACCAAATGATACTGAACAAAGCTGAGGTTTCGATTGTGACTTGTCTATTACAGCCGGTCTAAAAAAAAAAGCAATTGTGTCATGCAGGAAAGTTTTCTTTTTCAGAGCAATGGCTGTGTTTGCAATCTGAAAATTAAGAAAATTTCTTTAAAAAGATTTTAGTCAGAGCATTTATTTGAAAGACTGAAATGAGAGTTAACATTTATTTCATCCACACAACCAGTCGGGCAAGTTATTGAACATTTAACATGACGGACCATGCATTTACTAGACTGGGTCAGTCGGACGTGCCTTAGTGTCAAACCCTGCATATCTTTCAGAAATATATTTGAAATCCATTTAGTCAAGAGCCACATTTTTAAACGTGATTTACATATGTAAATGCCCATTTTTGTCATGAGCTACATGTATGTAGTTTAGTGGTTAGCATGTTAGTCTCTTAGAAAAAAAAAAGATATTCAGGATTTAATTTCATTGCTTGGTTTTCAACCCCTAGAATACCACTTTTTTTTTTTTTTTTTATCATAGAATGATTTTTGCTTAAAGAATTTTCCACAGAAAAGTTTTGTTTGTAATATAATGTTATACCTTTCAATAAGAAGAACTTTACTCTAAATACTAAACTCAGTATTTGAATATGAATTTTATACATTTGAAGCTATAGGCTTTTTGCATGCCTTGTTCACCCATCTCCTTATGCACATTATGAAACATGTAAAATTAATTATTACATATTACTGTTACTTGGTAGACTTTTAGTGTAATTAAAATTAGATCTTTCATTTTACTCCATTTATTAATATATGTTACTAATGAGAGACAGATAAATATACAGGAAAAGCTAAATGAATCTAAATTGTGTAGCTTGTTGAATGTTTTCATTTATAATATTCTTATAAGTGACTTGCTTGGATACATGTTTTCATTTTGAAAAAATCCTTATTTGTCTAGATGCATGTATTCTGTTGTGAGTACTTATATAGTCCTAACTATAAAGATTCCAACCTTTTGATATGTAAATTATAGAACAAGATGAGATTAAAGTTTGGCACTTTAAACTGATAGGAAACCAAAGGCAAGGACAAAAGAAAAGGATAACCCAAAATTTCAGAAGTGTTTGTTAAGTTGTGAATATACTTTTCGCTGTGTATTCTTTTTAGTGCCTTTGTCGGAAAGCAATGTCCACTGATTCAAGTACAACGCTAAATGTCTTGCACAAATACACATAAAGAAGAACATTAACAAATGCTCTAAATCAAATCTCCGCTAACTTGCTCAATAATCAACTTCTGCCAAATATCGTACACGCTAAATATTATACATTTACAGTAATTCAAAAGGCTAACAAGTTCTAAAGGATAATCATTTAATACAAATCAAATACACAAAATGTTAACTAGCTGTTTTAGGAATTTTAATTTTAAAATTTATTCTTGTCCTTTTGCTTTTAAAGAAGTGTTGTGTCTTAATTAAGATTGGAAACTTGATCACTGATATATTTTTATTTCTTTTTTATGTAAAAGCTTTAATGGTTCTATTATATAATTATGTATTTCAGTTCCATTTGTAAGATGTGTGGACAAAAGAAAAACAGCCATAGAGTGCCAATGTGGAGTGGAATAAGTCAGTATGACTTAAACATGGTCAATTGAAGTGTTTAAATGCCCCTCCAGAAAGCAGAACAATCTTTGAATTTGCAGGAAAGAGTATAAAATTTGCTGTTAAAATATCATAACAGCTAGACAAAGATTAAATAACAACTACATGTACATCTAAAGAATTCTTTTGTCATAATAGTGATTCATGTGCTAGTACATGTGACAAGTGCTATAACGACCTAATATAAGTGTGTTTTAGGAGCATGTTGACTCTATTGTAAATGTATTGACTCCTTATATGACCTCATTTATATATAACATTATATGAATGGTAGTGTAGTGACTTGAAATGTGTGTTAGTAGTATAGCTCGTTATGTGTGGTAATTTTGTTATTTGTTTTACATGTATGATAGTACATATAGTATGGTGACTCATGTGTTGGGAATTAATGTATAATTTTATGTGTGTTACTGGTATAACTCATAATGTGTGTAAATATTGTTTTTTGTAATATATATTAGTAGTGTAGTGACTCGACATGTGTGTAAGTAGTGTAGTGACTCGACATGTGTGTTATGAGTGTAGCTTATGATGTGTGGTTATTTTGTGTACGTATGTAGTATGGTGACTCATGTGTTAGGAATGTATAATTTTATGTATGTTACTGATATGCCTCATCGTGTGATTTAAAATGGTTATTTGTAATGTATATATTAGTAGTAAAGTGACTCGACATGTGTGTTAGTAGTGTAGTGACTCGACATGTGTGTTAGTAGTGTAGCTTATTATGTGTGGTAATTTTGTTATTTGTTATGTGAGTTGTACATGTAGTATGGTGACTCATGTGTTGGGAATGTATAATTTTATGTGTGTTACTTGTATAACTCATTGTGTGTGTTTTAATATAGTTATTTGTAGTGTATATATTAGTATTGTAGTGACTCCACAAGTATGTTAGTGTGTAGTGACATGACATGTGTGTTAGTAGTGTAGTGACTCGACATGTGTGTTTGAAGTGTAGCTTATTATATGTGGTATTTTTGTTATTTGTTATGGTTGTTGTATATGTAGTACGGCAACTCATGTGTTGGGAAAGTATATTTTAATTTGATGTGTGTTACTGGTATAGCTCATTGTGTGTTTTAATAATTTTTTTTGTAATATATATTTTATTAGTGTAGTGACTGGACATGTGTGGTAGTAGTGTAGTGACTCGACATGTGTGTTAGTAGTGTAGTGACTCGACATGTGTGTTAGTAGTGTAGCTTATTATGTGTGGTAATTTTGTTATTTGTTATGTGTGTTGTACATGTAGTATGGTGACTCATGTGTTGGGAATGTATTATTATATTCTTGCTCCAAAAGATACTGTTTTACCCTTGTCTGTCTAGCTGTGTGTGTGTCTGTCTGACTGTCCATAACAAATTTTTGGTCACAGTTTTCTCAGCAGCTACTCATTGCAGATGCTTGAAATTTTAGCATACTCTTTGTTTAGGCTTGGTGGGAATCATTTTCATACAAATCTGATGTCAACTTCCTGTTTATCCATGTGTCTGTCCATACCACACATAACACATTTTCGTCGCAGTTTTCTAAGCACTACTTATTGCTTGAAATTTTAGCACACTCATTGCTGAGGCATGTCATATGGTGGGATTCATTTTTGTATGAATTTGATGCCAACTTCCTTTTTATCTGTGCGTCTGTCCGTACCATACATAACGAATTTTTTTCGCAGTTTTTTCAGCAATTACTCAGAGCAGATGCTTGAAATTTTAGCACATTCTTTATTTTGGCATGCCTTATCGTGGGATTTATTTTTGTACAAGTCTGATGTCAACTTCCTGTTTATCTGTGTGTCTGTCTATACCATATATAACAAATATTTGTTGCAGTTTCTCATCAACTACTTATTGCAGATGCATGAAAGTTTACACACTCTTTGTTTAGGCATGCCATATGATGGGATTCATTTCTGAATTTGATGTCAACTTCCTGTTTTACTGTGCATCTGTCTGTATAATATGGAACAAATTTTTGTCAAAGTTTTCTCAGCAACAACTCATTGCAGATGCTTGAAATTTTAGCACACTCTTTGTTGACGCATAATTGTCATATGGTGGGATTCATTTTTGTATGAATCTGATGTCAACTTCCTGTTTATTCATGCATCTGTCCATAGTTGAATTTGTGAATATACACATGATAGTGTATATTCAAATCACAGCGGAGGTATTACCAGTGAGCATTGGCTCACAGACTTCTTGTTTTATGTGTGTTACTGGTATAGCTCATCATGTGATTTAATGTTGTTATTTGTAATGTATATATTAGAAGTGTAGTGACTCGACATGTGTGTTAATAGTGTAGTGACTCGACATGTGTGTTTGTAGTGTAGCTTTTTATGTGTGGTAATTTTGTTATTTGTTATGTGTGTTGTACATGTAGTATGTTGACTCATTACGTGTTGGGAATATGTGATTTTATGTGTGTTATTGGTAAAGCTCCTCATGTGTTCTTATATTGTTATTTGTAATATACAGTGAAACTTGTCTTATTCGGATGTTGTCTACTCCAAAAACTTGACTTATACAATGTTAACTTTAAGTCACCTGCAGTAGACTCAATTGTTTTAAATGTTGTCTAATCCGGAATGTCGTCTAATCCAGCGAATTTCTCGACATGTGTGTAAGTAGTGTAGTGACTCGACATGTGTGTAAGTAGTGTAGTGACTCGACATGTGTGTTATGAGTGTAGCTTATGATGTGTGGTAATTTTGTTATTTGTTATGTGAGTTGTACATGTAGTATGGTGACTGGTGTGTCGGGATTGTATAATATTAAATGTGTTACTTGTATAACTCATTGCGCGATTTAAAACTGTTATTTGTAAGGTATATATTAGAAGTGTAGTGACTCGATATGTGTGTAAGTAGTGTAGTGACTCAACATGTGTGTAAGTAGTGTAGTGACTCGGCATGTGTTTTATGAGTGTAGCTTATATGATGTGTGGTAATTTTGTTATTTGTTATGTGAGTTGTACATGTAGTATGGTGACTGGTGTGTCGGGATTGTATAATTTTAAATGTGTTACTTGTATAACTCATCGTGCGATTTAAAACTGTTATTTGTAAGTTATATATTAGAAGTGTAGTGACTCGACATGTGTGTAAGTAGTGTAGTGACTCGACATGTGTGTTAGTAGTGTAGTGAATCAACATGTGTGTTAGTAGTGTAGCTTATTATGTGTGGTAATTTTGTTATTTGTTATGTGAGTCGTACATGTAGTATGGTGACTCGTGTGTTGGGAATGTATAATTTTATGTGTGTTACTTGTATTGCTCATCGTGTGATTTAAAATTGTTATTTGTAAGGTATATATCAGTAGTGTAGTGACTCAACATGTGTGTAAGTAGTGTAGTGTCTTGACATGTGTGTAAGTAGTGTAGTTACTTGACATGTGTGTTAGTTCTGTAGTGACTCGACATGTGTGTTAGTAGTGTAGCTTATTATGAGTGGTACTTTTGTTATTTGTTATGTGAGTTGTACATGTAGTATGGTGACTCATTTGTTGGGAATGTATAATTTTATGTGTGTTACTGGTATAGCTCATTGTAAGTTTTAATATTGTTACATGTATTTGTAATACTTATTTTGTATTGTTATTTTGATTTGTTTGTTGTACATGTAGCATGGGATTCATTTTGTGTTGGGAATGTAGAATTTTACCTGCGGTAGTGTACATGTAGCTCATTTTGTGTGCTAATATTGTTATTTTTATGTGTAATAGTCATGTAGTGACTCAATATGTGTGTAAGTAGTGTAGCTCATTATGTGTTTTCATGTTGAGTTAGTTTAGAAGAGTGTTGACTTACTGTGTAAGTTAGAGTAGCCTCTTGCTATGTGTGAGCATAATATAAAAAGACACTTTTTTATGATGTGTATATAATTATTAAAACATTGCTAAATATAATATTATATCAACCTCTGTTGATAAACTTGCATGTGTTTGAATTTCTAATGTAATGTAAGCTACATGAATAGATCATATTTTGACTGAATTTTGAATGAGCACAATTTGTGATGATTTTTATTTTTGAAATAAACAGAAATTTAATTTTCTTTGTATATGTTTATTTTTTCGTTAGATTGCAGAATAAAACTACATAACTTTTGCAGTATTAAATATCTAGAAATGCTTTTTATGACCAGAATGGTGGATACTTATACAGTTAAAATATACCACTGAGGGAGTTAGCAAGATTCCAGTTCCCCAAGGCCAAGACTATTTCCCGAAGCGAAGCCGAGGGAAATAGTCCTGGTCGAGAGGAACTGAAATCTTGCTAACTCCCGCAATGATATACTTTTAACTGTTTTATTATACTGATAAAAACTTAAAATTTAGAGTTAGAGGATTCAGATAGCATGATTTCATAGCAGGGATTAGCTCACTAACTAACTAACACACGGGGATTAGTCCATTCACATATCATACCAATGTAAAAGTAAAATCTAGAGGATTACGGATAACCGGGAATTAGCTTTCGAAGCAGGGATTAGCTCACTTGACTAACGCACGGGGACTAATCCATTCATTACGATTTCTAGGGAATTAGTCACATCTAACGATCTAATGTTCTATAGGGAAAAAATCAGTAGAGATATGATAAAACTATATAACATGTTATTCTGCTTGGGAGAACAAGTTAAGGGGAAGATCAAATTGGGTAAGAATTATAGACCAATGCAAACTGATGTACAATGTATATAAAAGCAGATAAATGTTTGTCGGTGGTATGCTGTAAATTTTAAATGATAAAAGCTTGACTTCAACTGTAGGAAATTCTCGATTGGGACAAAAATACACACAATCAATCAATCAGCTGTAGGAAATATCCCTACTAAAATATCATGGTAAAGTTAGATCAAAATAACGATAGTGGTTTTATAATGCACATTATTGTGAAACCTAAAAGACATCTTAAAAGAAACGGGGCGTATAAGGCGGGGACAATCACCCGCTCTGAGATAATAAATTTCTCAATCTTTAAAGTTCATGGAAAAGTTATATTTTTCTAAAATAAAGTTTTCAGGAATGGCATTTTCAACATATTTGACTCATTTATTTTATTAAATGGCATTGGTTGATGATTTGTTTTAAAGTTGTGAGTAAAGCATATTTAGTGGAAAACTGGTTTTTTGGAGCCACACAAAATGATTTTTGAAAATGAATGGGACAAGTTCCCTTTCTACATTAACCTTTAAATGACCGAAAAGTAAATGTAAAATTAACTTAAAGTTTTAAAAAATGGAGTCTGAGCCCATTCCATTTGAAAATCGAACATTATAGAAAAAAATACGCTTCAACAACCTCTTTTATTTTAATCACACTGAAACACATCAATGACAAGAAGACTTCGTGGCGAAAAATAAATTATTTATCAATAAATCATTCAGTAAAATAAAGGAAGCTAATGTGTAAAAGATGATATTGACAATACATTTTTTTTTTTTGAAAAATGTAACTTTTCAAGAACTTTCAAAATTGAGAATCGTGTTTTTTCAGGCTGGGAGATTGTCCTCGCTCTGTACCAGGGACCTTTACAGCGAATATAGGTTTTAAAACATATCATATATAATGTATCCATTTAATAATTGAAAGGGGATTATGCTTTAGAGGTTATTGACTCACACAGCACAGATTCTATAATTGGTCTTCCAAATTGAACATAGATTACCCTCTCCCCCCAAATAAGGAATAGAACAGGAAGTCACAGTCACGGTCTAGCCTTGATATTAAACCGGGAAATACTACGATCTGAAGCATGCAGTATCGAAGGGGTACAGGGATGCCCCCTAGTGTTTTTTTATTCTCCCGAGAAAATAACTGTTGTTAATGTACATAGGAAATTTTAATATAAGGCGTTTTGTCATTTTTTCTTCCTTTTTGCTGCTTAAAAATCGATTTTTAACGCGGGAGGGGGGGGGACTCCAAAACAGTTTGACAAGCAGGAAAAAAACCTAAACCTATTGTCTAAACTCGAAAATCTTTTCTACATTCGGGCCACAAAAAAGAGAGAGAAACCCCAACCATTTGAACATGGGTAGGAAAACGAGATTATATATATATTTTTTTCTTTTTGTCCTTGG